TCACTATTTATAGTATCTTGTGTTTAAGCAATAAGGGAATCCAAGGAATGTATTTGATCTAAGAGACAAGTGATTTAAGTTAGTTAAATTAACGAGACCTTTCTCTTATGTTCATTCCTAAAACGTTCCTAGCCATAGGATTGCCAATTGGGCATTGACAATCCGCTAAGGTTAGTATGTGTTATGTCGACTCAAGCGTGAGTATGAACTAGTCTTAAGTCATTTGGTGTTGGACACTAAGGCAAACACATAGGTGCTCGAAAGAGTAATCGAGTACACTGAACCACGATCAAACAAGAGTTCGAACATACATGTCATGTGAGAACTCAATAGTTGCAATATGCAAAGTAGTCCTTTGACCTGAGGCATCATTGATGTCTAATGGTTAGGTCCTTGATCTTTGATTATGTCAACGACATTCCATTGGAGTGTCCACGGCATTGTTGGGGTCAAGCTATCTAGTCATGTAGGCATATGAATGTACAACAAGGGATCTCTAACCTTCCATGATGGAAGGAGAATACTCTAATATATGATTCGAGAGTCTTTGGCCAAAGCATATGAATATGACTAAGGAAGATGTTCCAAATCTTATTCAATTGAATCATATAGAGAAGTATCACATTGGATAGTAGACATGAAACAAACTATCACTTAAACAATGTGATTAAGAGTATTGTATTAGAGAATGACCGTATTGCATTGTAGTTGTAACTGGATAGGTTATCCAACCACTTCTACTTAGCTTGGGTAACCATGACATGCTGCTAGGCGTCACCCATGGTTTGTGGAAGCCCTAAAGATTAGCAAACACTAATTTAAGGGAGAATTGAAATGTGGTTTCAATTCACAATCGATCGTTAAGAGTAACATCGCCCACTACCTCGCTAATTGGAACCTAATGGATCGTACACCGAGTAAAGATATAAGTGAAGAAATTATATGAAATGGATAAGCAATTAAATGGTTTAATTGAAGAATGGTCAAGATTAATTAAATAGTTAATTAATTATACGAAACGTTCGTATTGGGCGTTTAAGTTAGTTTTGGGCTTCGGGGCACAAAAACGTTTTGGTCCACAAGGCCCATTATGTTTAAGTTGTATGACAACTAAAACAAAATGGGCAATTAAGCCCAAATACAACATATGGCCGGCCATAAGCTTCAAGGGTAGTGAACTTGGCTTAATTGCAAGTTTGCCACTCCATTGTGAGGTGGTATAAAGACATTTTTATAGCCATTTCACCCTAAGGGTTTTCTAATTGAATTTGGGTGAAACCTATTCTCTCATTTCACCTTAGGGGAGGAACATCTAGCAATCTTTCTTCCCTAAGTCATCCATTTCATCTTCACACAATATTTTTGGTGTGGAGACTTAGAGACACCAAACTTTTGGTGTTTTGGAGAACAAATCCTCAAATCCTCAAAGAAGAAAAGGAGCACTAAAAGGGAGGAAATCACAAGGAAGATTCAAGGAGCAAGGAGGTGACTTGAAGGCCCTCCACTTGGGTGAATCCCTTGTGCAATCAAGGATGAGCTTCAAGGGTAAAGAATCTCTAAATTCTTATTCTCTTTAATTTTGTTAAAGAGTCTTATGGTTCACCATATACTAGGCTTTGAAAGTCATGGGTTTTATGAATTGTTTTTGAATGCATGCCTACTTTAAAGAGTTATTAGTTTGCATATGTATTCAAATGTTCTTACATGTTCTAAGCTAGGACAAAATTTTTCCTTCATGAAGATGGTCTAAAAGAAGGAAAATTGTAATGCCCCGGTCCCGAAATATTTATTTTCGGGAAATAATTCCAATGATAGGCCCAATTCAATTCTCTTGTTTGATTGATTATCAGTACACTTTTCTGGAGCCATGAGTTGCGCTACGTGTGTGGCTGTGATTGAAGAGAAAAATAAATGATGGATGGTTGTGATTAAAATAAAAGAATAGAAAGGAGGAAAAGGAGGAAGGAATTGGGGAGAGGGTGACCAATGGGGAGAGAGAATCGGGAGGAGAAAGAAAAGAATAGAAAGGAGAAAAAGGAGGAAGGAATTGGGGAGAGGGTGACCAATGGGGAGAGAGAATCGGGAGGAGAAAGAAAAGAATAGAAAGGATAAAAACGAGAAACGGAGGATCGGGACCCGGGTTTTGGTGACCCGACCCGGTCGGCACCCATACATGTTTCCGGTGGGTTTTCACCCATTTTTCCGGTGAATTACATCAAACAACCACTTGGAAACCCCTCCATGACCTTCCCTCTTCCTATTACATCCCAAAAATATAGGGATTTGGACTTTAAATTGGGAGAAACCGCACGGTGGGGTGCGGCGGGTGTGTGTTCGAATCAACTAAATCTGAAGCAAACTACATCCATCTCCACCACCATTAGAGTCCCCTTGAGGTCTGGAACAAATCCCAAACAATGGTAGGGGCGGCGGAGCACCGGAGGTGACGTTTTAAGGCCACCCATTTATAGGGTTTCCAGCGGGTTCAAGGCAAATTGGAGCCTTTACAGACTAAATTGAACTTGGCCTCATGTATAAAGTTTGCTCTACTATTTGAGATATTCATTTTTGTAATTTTTGAGAATTTTTAGAAATAGTTGAATTTTCCGGTAAGCCGGGGCAGTCGACCGCCACCCACGACGGCGGATGCGGCGGCGGGTGGCCAAGGAGCCGACATTGTGTTTTTATGCGAATTTCGTTATTCTAGTTATGATTTTGAGACTTAACTGCTGAGGTTTGAATATTAATACAATTGCGGTATATGTGGATTAAATGAATATATTCGGATTTGGTTTGAATTTTGGAAATGTGAACTACGAATGGCTGGATCCCTGTTTAGGGTACGTAGGCAGTCTAATGAGATGTTAGATGCAGCCATACAATAAGTGAGATTAAATAAACGAGACAAAGTTTTGATTGAGGAATTGAACTAAGTAAGGAGTTTGGAATTTTATTATAAAAGGAAATCTTATGTTTTGTGTATATAAATTCTAGTTATAAATTGTGTGAACGTTTAATAAATTTAAGCAGGAAATTATGTAATTATGGTAATTGGACAATTGAGTTTGATCTCTTGTTGGGAAATAGAGTGAATATGAAGGTATTGGTGTTAAAGTAAAAATATAAACGTACGTTTTGCTAAGTAAGTTTGGTGGATACTTATGTGAGTAGTTAGGAATTTTTTTTTAATTAAAGAATAAAGTGTACTGATAATAAATCAAACAAGAGAATTGAATTGGACCTATCGTTGGAATTATTTCTCGAAAATAAATATTTCGGGACCGGGGCATTACAAAAATAGTTTAAACCCAAAACGCAATTAGTTGAAGAAGAGCCCCAACTTGATTTTAGTAGATTGCAAATTACAACGATTAAATTTTAGGCTTAAATATCAAAATGGTCCCTGTGTTATAGTTATATGGCCAATCTAGTTCCCGTGTTTTCAATTTGATTAATTTAGTCCTCGTGTTTATCTATGTTAACCAATTAAGAACATTTCATTCAATCTCTTTTAAAAACTTCATAAGAAAAATCATATGAGAAATAATTACCATTTCTCTTTACTGAAAAATGCAAATCAATGAGAATAACACATATAAGAAATAAAACTTCCATTCTGAAAAATGATTAAGGTTGTGACATAGAAAAGAAAGGGGGTAACGTTAGGGAGGAAGTTGGAGAGTTGGAAGGAGAATAACTTTTCTTTTAAGTTTTAAGTTTATTTCATTTTAAATCAAATATATTATAATTTTATAAATAATAATTTATAATTTTTTTTTTTTTACAGATGGAAATGTCCTTAAGAGATGAATACAAAGATCAAATTGGCCAAATTGAAAACACAGAGACTAAATTGACCCAATAACTAAAATACATGGACCATTTTAACATTTAAGCCTAAATTTTAAGGAAAACTAATGAAAATGGCTTGAAAATTTGAGTTTTAATGATAAGGACAAAATAAAGGGTAAAGTGAATAGTATCATGTTTGACTTTTTAGTGTAAATGTGACATCCCACATCGCCCAGGGGAGTGATCCTTATATGTATATTCCCATTTCTACCTAGCACGAGGCCTTTTGGGAGCTCACTGGCTTCGGATTCCATAGGAACTCCGAAGTTAAGCGAGAAGGAGGCTAGAGCAATCCCAGGATGGGTGACCTACTGGGAAGTTGCTCGTGAGTTCCCAAAAACAAAACCGTGAGGGAATGGTAAGCCCAAAGCGGACAATATCGTGCTACGGTGGTGGACCGGGCCTGGGAAGTGATCCGCCCCGGGCCGGGATGTGACAGTAAAAATGTGATTTTTCGTTAAAGTGAACAATACCGTCTGCTTTTCGTTAAAACTCTCTAAATTTTATGCATCTGAAATACAGTGACAAAATGAATTATTTTTGCTCACCACTTTTAAGTGATATGATGCTCATCATTTATCATTATTAGATAAATTTAAATTTCGAAATTTATATACTACATACAATCTCAAAATTTAAAATAAATAAAATAAAAACATTTGAGGATGGTGAGTAAATGAAACCAAATTGAAATTGTGAGGATTATTGCGAGTACAAATAACGTGTGGTCCTAAATTTAATTATTTTAAGCTACAGAATCGAAAAAAAATTTAATTTACCCACCATTACCAAGACTCTGAACTCTGAAACCAATCAATTAAAGAAAAGCATGAATGTTTTCAAATTCTTGAGTCGAGCATTTCTGCTTCTTACTTGTCAAGCCATCTCTCTCTCTCTCGCTCTCTCTCTCTCTCTGAACCAACTGGTAAAAAACCACCGCCGAAACGCTTTGATCCTCCCATTTTTATGCAGCAAACACAAACAAACAACCCTGATGTGATATTTGGAAGAAAACCCAATGCTTAATTTCTCTCTCAGACCCCACGTCTTCCTTTCTCTCTCTAGAAGTCTAAAGCGCCCATCTTTTTAAAATCCCTTTTGTTTTTGGACCATTTCTCCAACCCCCACAACTCCCACGAACTCTCAATGCTTCATTCTTCACACAAATGGCGAATAACAATCCCGCGTCTCCACACCAAACAGAGGAAAGCACAATGACCCACTTGGAGTTCTTCAAGAAACTCAAACGCTCCAACCCTCTTGAACCTTCTCTGGGGATTCTTGGGTTCTTCTTGGTCGTTTTTCTCTTCGTTAGCTGCTTCTCCTACTTGGATCACCGTACAGTTTACAGTCGGATTCTGGGGTTGCCGTCAAAGGGGAATGGACTGCTGGGATTTCTTGAGGAAGGCGGTAACGGCTGTGACGTGTTTGATGGGAATTGGGTTTGGGATGAGAGCTATCCGTTGTACGAGTCTCAGAATTGTAGCCTTTTAGATGAAGGGTTTAGATGTTCTGAGAATGGCCGGCCTGATAATTTCTACACCAAGTGGCGTTGGCAGCCCAAAGGTTGCACCTTGCCCAGGTACTAGTACTACTCGACCATTCTGTTTATTTCTTACTTCGTATCCATTTTACGAAAATTTGAGTAGTTTAGAATATCGCCTTGTTAAAAAATAAAGAAAGAAAAATGATTATCATGTTTGTATTGGTTTGGTGTTGTTTAGATACTGGTTCAGTGCTAGTGGGGAAGTAAGCTTCCTGAATTTATTAGCAGCCTAATTGAAATTTAGTTTATTAATTAGGTGAACAGATAAAGTTTTACCAGTAACTGGAATTTAATTTATTCATTTGTTGTTGTAATGAACAGATATAATTTTCCTTCTTTTGTTTGCTTTTTGTATTGTTAATTTGGAATTTTGGGTTGGTTCCTTTTTTTGTTAATGTTTTGTTAACCGAGCGATATTGTAATTAATCTAATCCAAACTACGGGAGATGATTCGAACTTCGGTTGGTTCCATTCTTAATGATGTCCTTGTTATTTTCTATGTGAATGATTTTAAGTTTTTGTGGAGGTTGGTGGGTGTAACTTTTTTGTGGATTAGCTGCTCACCCGTGACCCTTCATTGCCTTTTGGCTTTGTCAATTCTTTCAGTGTTTGTATATTTTTAGTTCAAACTGCTCGAGTAGCGAGAAAGTTCTCTGTTTGCCCTTTTGTTTTGGTTGTTTTGTCCTTTGGTTTCATCATATGCTTTTTCAATCTGGAGGTTTTGTTTTCGTCTGATTACAAGTTGAGTGAGTCTGAAAAGATAACGTTAGACTATATTAGACAATTTCGTCTATAAATCGTGAATTTTCATCATAATTACAACGATAATTGGTAGTGGTACAGTTGAGTGATCTTTAGTACTTAAGATGATAACGATGATGGTACACCGAATACTCTCTAGCTGAGTACATTTGAGTGATCTTTAGTAGTTAGATTGGACAAGATCTTATATTCGGTTTATCTCTTGTCTTAAGAACAGATTCGATGCAGGGAAGATGTTGGAGAAGCTTCGGAACCGGCGTGTTGTATTTGTTGGTGATTCAATTGGAAGGAACCAATGGGAGTCTCTTCTCTGTATGCTCTCCTCTGCGGTTCCTAACAAGACTTCAATCTATGAGGTGAATGGGTTCTTGATATTCAAGTTTGAGGACTTCAACTGCACTGTGGAATACTACAGAGCACCATTTCTAGTCTTTCAGGGCCACCCTCCTGCTGGCGCTCCAGAAAACGTGAAGATAACCTTAAGGGTGGATCAACTGGAAAGGACTTCCAGGCAGTGGAGAGATGCAGATGTGCTGATTCTCAATGCGGGGCATTGGTGGAGTTATGAGAAGACCATACGAGAGTAAATCCTGATAACTTTCTCTTGCAACTTTTTTGTTAGTTTTCATAACATTTCTTGTTACACAAACTTTGAAACTCTAAGAGGTGGAAAGTTTACAACGAATTTGTGATTTAAACTTTTAATTATTTGGTTGAATAAGGATTCATAATTGTCATGGAGAAAAGTGTGTGCCTATGATTTATCGGATCATGTCTGATTTTTGGAATTTCATGACTTGTCAGTGGTTGCTACTTCCAAGAAGGAGAGGAGGTGAAGATGAATATGACTGTCGAAACAGCATTTCGTAGATCGTTAGATACTGTGATGGATTGGATTGGCAATGAAGTGAACATGAGCAAGTCTTATGTTCTCTTTCGAACTTATGCTCCCGTGCATTTCAGGTTTGCTCCATCATTTTGTTGGCAGTCTCATTGATATATCAATTTTGGCCTTCAGTTTGGCTTTGCACTTTAGAGGTTCTTTGTGCTTTTTCATTTGCTTGTATAGGCTTTGGCATCAGAACATATACCAATACCGTATACGTCTGCACATTTTCACTTCATGTGTTCAGGGAAAATGTTGCTTTTGGTTTTTACCGCATATGTATAACTTAACACTAATCAATAGGTTATGGATGTAACAGTGGCGGTGATTGGAATACGGGTGGTGGTTGTCAGTTGGACAACCTACCTGGATTAAGTTTGTTATCCAATTCATCCGAAAGTGTTTACAAGACTATCTTTGATCTCATATCAGAGCGTTCAAATGAGTCACATGTTAGGAAACTGGATTTGCTCAATGTGACGAACATGTCTCTGTGGAGAAAAGATGGTCATGCCTCTCTATACTATCAAGGGCCTGAGACTGGACCAGCCTCCGTCCACCTTCAAGACTGCAGCCACTGGTGCCTCCCAGGTGTGCCTGATTCATGGAACGAGCTTCTGTATGCACTCTTCCTTAAACGGGAATCCATTCGCGCATGAAACTCAACAAAATCTTTGTAGTTTACGTTGTGAATAGTTATTAAAAACTTCCTGGAAAAAACCGGAACATTTTGTTGGCCACAATCACCGGAAGATGTCTGGCATGTAAAGGTAAGAGTTGGGTGGTACTGTTAGCATCTTCATTTTTCTCGAGCATTAGATGGGTTTTGCTTAACGAGCGGAAAATTAGAACGAGAGATTACTGGAGGTTTGCTATGCTAACATGTAAAGCTGGGATTCATTGGTTGGTGAGAATTCAAGTCATTTTGGAGGCTTTTGTTGGATAATTTTTTGCAGTAGATTCGTCATCTCTGGACCCGAAGTACGGAAGTTGGTTTAGGGAGCATGCTAAACTTCAAGGATGCAAGTAGAAAGAGATGATGAGGCAAGCTTGATACTGGTTATACATGTACACATGGTTTTACTTATATTCACAGAATGTAATTACACAAGTTTTTATTGCCCTGGATATTACAGGGGTTTCGTTGCATCTAAAGTCAATGAAAGAGATTTTACTTCGACTCTAGCGTTAATTTGAGTCGTGTTCATATGCTTTTTGGGAAAAATATGCATAAATAGACCGGTTAGAATCGGAACATTGAACGGACTATAACTTGTATATAAATAATGGTGGAGTCTCTTTTATTTGATTTTCAACTATTAATAAATGGTTTCTTCTACATGGATTTTTTGTTTTCAAAGAAGCGCTTCTAACTAGGTTTGATAGAAACACGTAAAATGCGTTTGGAGTACAAAACAACGTTTTCTGAAGAAGCGACTAGGGTGAAATTTTGATAAAAAGTTTTAACGTCTCCCTTTTTCAGAAAACGCTTATGAGCAAAAATATTCCCTGCGAGTTCAAATCTCAAGCGGCTTCTCACGTGTGGTTTCCAAAATAAAAATACTCGCACGTGTTTGCAAATCAAATCAGTTTGCGCCCAAGCGCGCCATTCTTCTACTTCTGCCTCTTTCAGTCTCTAAACCTTAAAAATGGCAGCTTCGAAAACCCGGCTGTATCGACAATCATTCGGTCGCTTCAACCACCAAAAAATTCGATCGCCCGGTCCCGTTTATCATCAATCTTTTGTTTTTCGAAGAAATGGCTAATAGCACTGCAACTCCACACTGGACACAGACGAAAAACTGATCCACTCGTAGTTCTTCAAGAAGTTCAAATGCTTCAACCCTCTGGAACCTTCTCTGGGAATTCTTGGCTTCTTCTTGGTCACTGTCATTTTCATTAGCTGATTCTCGTACTTGGATTAACCTACAGTTATCAGCGGGATTTGCTCTCGTGGGGTTGCCTATTTATAGGTAGTGTGCAGCAACAATGGAGGAAAAGTATCGAAGAGCCAAAGCAAACAAAGAGAGAAAGAGAGGAGGGAAACTTTCAATTGTTTTCTTTCATTTCTTTCAATTGTGACCAACCTGTCTTATAAATACCACACTCTTAACTAACTCCACCAATACATTTGTGACACATGGCTATATCCTCCACACACACATATCACACACTTATATCCTAACATTCCCCCTCAATCTTATGGGAGGTACTACCAAGCATAAGATTGGTACAATGAGAACTAAACAAAGGAAAACACAATCCTTTGGTGAAAATATCAGCATGCTGATCTGCAGAATTGACAAACTGCAACATAATGTAGCCTTGCTGAACACGTTCACGAACGAAATGACAATCGATTTCTATATGTTTGGCTTTGGAACGTAAGACAGGATTCGTAGCCAATGCCATGGCAGAGATGTTGTCACAGTGAAGAAGAGGAATATCAGGACACGGAAGATGTAAATCCTGGAGTAACTGCTGTAACCAAACCACCTCTGCAGTGGTGGTCGCCATAGCACGGTATTCAGCTTCAGTGGAGGATCTACTAACAGTATGCTGCTTCTTAGAACTCCACGAGATAGGATTACACCCCAAAAACACGACAAACCCCGTGGTGGACCTCCTGTCATTGGGATCACCCGCCCAATCAGCATCTGTGTAGGCTTTAATATCCAACAGACCAGGTTTAAAACATAAACCAAGAGACATGGAACCTCTGAGATATTGTAAAATTCGTTTAACAGCAACAAAATGACTCTCGAGAGGAGAGTGCATGAACTGGCAAACCTGATTAACTGAATAAGCGATATCCGGTCGAGTAAATGTCAAATATTGAAGGGACCCAACAATACTCCGATAAAGGCCTGAATCGAGAAAGGGAGGACTGCCATGATTGAGTAGCTTGTGGTTTGGATGACAAGGAGTAGTATAAGGCTTGTTATCCAACATGTTGGTCTTCTTGAGTAAATCAGAAACATATTTGGATTGATGCACAAATAAACCATGAGTCTGATATTCAATTTGAAGACCAAGGAAATAATGAAGAAGTCCTAAATCCTTCATATCAAATTCACTAGTCAACTGATGTATCACAGCTTGAACTTTAGTCTCATCATCACCACTGAGAATTATATCATCAACATACAATAATAAGACAACCACAGACTGTCCATCATGCTTCACATATAAAGAAGGATCAGCATATGAAGACTGGAAACCCAAGGTAAGAAGAAACCTGGTAAAACGTTCATTCCAAGCCCGAGGGGCCTGTTTAAGGCCATATTGAGACATTTCCAATTTGCACACAAGTTCCGAGTGATCCGGATCAATAAATCCTTAGGGCTGACACATATACACCTCTTCATCAAGAAAACCATGCAGAAACGCGTTTTTAACATCAAGCTGTTTTAATCTCCATCCTTTAGTTGCAGCTAAAGATAACATGAGCCGCACTGTGGTTGGCTTAACCACAGGACTAAAGGTTTCATAATAATCAAGACCTGCTTCTTGGGAAAAACCTTTGGCCACCAACTGGGCCTTGTATCGAGCAACTGTACCATCAGGATTGGTTTTGACCTTGTAGATCCATTTACAACCAACCAAATTCTTGTTAGGTGGAAGGGGAACCAACTGCCATGTTTTCTGTTTAACCAAGGCTGCCATTTCTTCTTCCATGGTAGTCCTCCACTCAATAGACTTGGCTGCAGCTGTGAAAGATTGTGGTTCTTTGACAGAAGACACATGAACCTGAGCAAGAAGGACCGTTTTCTTGAAAATGCCAGACTTGGACTTGGTTTGCATCGGATGAGTAGGAATCTGAGACACTAAAACAGGTTGTAGTTCGGGGACTTGAGAAACAGTGACATCAGGATGAATGTCAGACTGTGCCACTGATGGTGAACATGTATCCACAGAGGAAGAAGTGGAATCAGGGACAAGATCACCATGTCTTGAAGGGGAGGACTGAGTAACATTATGATTGGCAGACATATGGGGAGGTATAAAATCAACAGGAGGAAAGGGAATAGGAATAAGAGAGGGATGCTGAAAAGTATTAGGATGAGGAACCGGAGAGTGGGACACATGTGATCGTGAACTAGATGAATGCATTGGTACACTGGGAAAATTATCCTCATCAAAGACAACATGCCTAGAGACAATGAGCTTATGATCTTTAATATCATAACAAATATACCCTTTGTAGTGAGCTGCATACCCTAAAAATATGCACTGTGTGGTTTTTGGTGCCAGCTTATTTGGTCTATATGGTTTCAAAGTAGGATAGCAAGCACACCCAAACACCTTGAGATGATCAAGGCGAGGTGGAGAGTGATACAATACTTCAAAAGGAGATTGCATTTTCAAGACAGGAGTAGGCATTCGATTAATAAGATAAGTGGCTGTGGCACAAGCATGAAACCAAAATTTAGAGGAAAGGGATGCTTGTTGAAGTAGGGTGATTGCAGTCTCAACTAGGTGTCTATTTTTCCTTTCAGCCAACCCATTCTGTTCAGGAGTGTAGGGACAGGACATTTGATGCAAAATGCCTTTGGTTTTGAGAAACTTTTGAAAAACAGACCCAACAAATTCCCCACCACCATCACTTTGCAACACTTTGATATTAACAGAGAAGAAATTGTGAATGAAAGCATGAAATTGAATGAAAATATCACAAACTGCAGCTTTATTTATCATGGGAAAAATCCATGTATATCGGGTACACTCATCTACAAAGGACACATAATATCTATGACCTTCAATAGACATGATAGGTGCAGGTCCCCACACATCCGTGTGTATGACTTCAAAGGGTACATTGGATTTGGCTGCTACTAATGGAAACGGCAATTTGGTAAACTTGCCTTTCAAACAAGAAATACATGTTTGAGGTATGGAATTACAAGGAAAGGAAATAGCTGACTTACGAAGAGCTAACTGAACTATAGAATTGGTTGGGTGACCCAATCTGCAATGCCAAAGAGTAGCATGCACTTTCTGTCCAAGATATGCTGTAGGTTGAAGTCTGGATGGTTTGAACAAGGGAAGAGGGTAAACGGTATTGTTACTCAGTCCGTGGAAGAGTACTTTGTTGGTGACCTTGTCCTGTATACACACAAAAAATTCATCAACAATACAGTGACAGTTATTGTCTTTGCATAACTGATACATAGAAAGTAAATGTTGAGATAGATGCGGAACACAAAGCATGTTGTTTAACTGGAATTTATGAGAAGGAGTAGGAATACAAGATTGCCCTATATGAGAAATAGGTAAACCTTCTCCATTAGCTCCAGTGACCAATTCATTAGATGGATATGAAGTAGAGGCTTGCAAATTGGACAACTCGGAGGTTATATGATTGGTTGCACCCGAGTCAAGCAACCAAAACTCTTGTTGTGGTGTAGAGGGAGAAGGATTGGTCCTTGCAGTGAAAGCCATAGGAGACTAAGCTTGTGGTGCCACAGATGAATTGTTCATATACTTGGAATTCATATGTTGCACAGGGTGAATCTGGGAACCAGACAGCTGAAACGGCTGAGAGTACATAGGCTGAGACATTGCTGAATTTCCCCTATCAAAACATGTAGCCGCAGTGTGACCCACTCGATTGCATATTTGACAACCACGTTGAAAGCAATGAAGCGCAGAATGACCCTTTTTGTCACAAATCTGACAGATTAACAAAGGATTATAAGGTTGCACCGAAGATGATTGAGGGCTAACATTGTGAAAATTAGCGTGAGCTTGAACATTTGTGGGAGAAGAACCCTGAAATCTAGCATTAAACTTCGGCCCTTTGCCTTTATTTTTGAAATTATTCCCCCTGAAATTATTATAAGTCCCAGATCCAGTTTGTGACACAAAAGCATACGGTCCTAGAAGAGGCAATTGCTGAAATTGTGTGTACTGAGGTACTTGACCTAGTGAAACCATATTAGGCATTTGAACCAGCTGTGGCATATTAGGCATTGAAGCACCTTGCATCATTTGAGAACCAGGGAGATATTGATAAGTAGAAGAGTTAGTACCAGATGTCCCACCGGACTCATACACAGAACCTGAATTAGTGGCATACATTGCAGTCATCAGTGGCTGTTTAAAGCCCTCTTCAAGTGTTGCTTCTTCAGCCTTTAACTGCGACCTGAGTTCCTTCAAGGAAACAAGGTTTTCTCTCCCTCGAATAACAGCCTTTATAGTGTTGTACTCTGGTGGTAAACCTCTCAGAGCAACAATAACAATGTCTTCATCAGACATGTTTACACCAACTGCAGCTAACTGATCTCTGCTATCTTTGATCCTTTGAAGATAAAGATCAATAGATTCAACCCCTTTCTTAATGTTCTATAAATCAATCTTCAGCTGTACAATATTCGTTCGAGTCATGCTAGAGAATCGTTCTTTCAAATTAACCCACATTTCCTTGGAACTTTGACAGCCGATAACACAGGATAAGGCAGCAGGTGGCAAAGTGGCAGTAATGAGAGTCATCAAAGCTCTATCATGAATTTTCCAAACTTTGTAATCATCAGTTAGAGAGGAGGTATCAATCACAGTACTAGTAGCAGTTTCAATTGCATTATGTTGGGCAGGACAGGGAATATACTCATCAAGAAATCCCATAATGCCATTGCCCTCCAAGAGCAATTCAATTTGAAAGTTCCAAGTAACATAGTTAGAATCATCTAACTTGACCGTAACAGTATTTCCAACACTCGGTATAAGGGAAGAAATGGGGGATTGAGTAAGAGCTAACTGTGCAGACGTCACCATGATTAATCACCAATGAACAATTTTTGCAAGAACCGTAAGAAATCAATACTATCAACAATCTTTGACAAATCAGCAATTAACTAGTTGAGATAAACGATCAACACCACAATCAACAGCAAGATTCACAAACATAAGCAAGAAATGAACAATCCTCAAGAAATTAACAACTTCACCGACAATCTTCGACAAATCAACAATCAACGATTCGCAACACTGTAATCCACACCAAGATTCTCAAACAGAAGCAAGAAATCAAGAAACGCAACTGATACCTTCAACCAAAACGACGAATGGCAATAGTCTCCAAGAAACCCCAAATGTTAGGGTTTGAGAGGGCAACCGACTGTAACAAGAAGAAAACCGAGAGAACACTACCGAAAGAGCGACAAAAAGCGGAAGCACCGAGATCGGCAAGATCGTCAGACGACGGCGTCAGCCTTGACCGGCTCTGATACCATGTCAACAAGGTATTTATAGGTAGTGTGCAGCAACAATGGAGGAAAAGTATCGAAGAGCCAAAGCAAACAAAGAGAGAAAGAGATGAGGGAAACTTTCAATTGTTTTCTTTCATTTCTTTCAATTGTGACCAACTTGTCTTATAAATACCACACTCTTAACTAACTCCACCAATACATTTGTGACACATGGCTATATCCTCCACACACTTATATCCTAACACTGGGGGGATTGCATGGCTCATCATTACCGTTATCATCATCGAGTGGGAAAGTACTGCCAGGATTTCTTGACGAAGGAAGCAATGCGTGTGACGTGTTTGATGGGAATTGGGTTTGGGATGAGAACTATCCTTTGTACGAGCTCCAAAATTGCTCTTTTATAGATGGAGGCTTGACAAATGGAGTAGAGGAAGACTTGGAAAAATACTTTAAGAAAAGACATAGAGTGCTTGAAGTTAACGGAAAACTTGATGTAAAACCGATGATAATGGACCGTTACGAGTATGTATGAAATAAAGTCATGATAGACAAGATAAAATAGTAAGTATGATTGTACTATTTATTTTTAATTATAATAGTATGATTAAATATACAAAATATGAGATAATACAGTTCTAAGTATAGTAATAAACATGAGTAAATAAGAATATGCATGGTTTTTTGTTGTAGTACTAAGTTTTCATAACAGTTGAGACTTTAAGCTTTGAAAGAAATAGAGAGAGAGAGGAAAATAAAGCTTAGGGATGAAGGAATCACAACACATTTTCATTACTTGATATTTTGCTAGAAGCTTTACATTGTATTTATATAGCATCCATATCCTTTGACTATGACAATAATACCCTTCCTAACTAACTTCAACTAATCACCAAATTCTAACAACCAACACTCACTAACAACTTTAACCAATTGAGTGATGACAAGTGTAACCAATAGATAATAGACATGTGTCTATTGGTTAATAAGTTTGAAAAATTTTGGATCAAAAATTTGGAAATTTGGATTGGATAGGTACATTCCATTTGTCATCCAAAATTTTTGGACATTTTCGAAATTGAAAAT